ACTGTAACACGTCTAGCCTACGAGAGATACACCACGACTGAGGAGAGAGAGAGGAGGGAGAGAGAGAGAGAGAGAGAGAGAGAGAGAGAGAGAGAGAGAGAGGAGAGAGAGAGAGAGAGAGAGAGAGGAGAGAGAGAGAGAGAGAGAGAGAGAGAGAGAGATACAAAGTCCTAAAATCTGGGTATCATGCAAACCCAAAAACTCAAGTCGAACCTTTCCTTCGTTTTATTAATCTCCTAGGCAAAGGGGACAATTCCCTCACTGACCCCCCCCCTTATCAACACTGTGCCAACTTTTAGAAAACGGACATTAAGAACTCTGCCTGTGCGAGTGTTGTGGTCTCTGAGCCATGATATGCATCAGATATTTTTGTCATTTCACGGTAAATGTGAGGGCAAAGCGGCAAAACCTGTGTTGTTTAGGACTCTATCTCTTATGCTTTATAAGATGGTGGTTTCCATTTCCCACCATCTCTGTGCATTGCTCTTGATAATATTAACCAAAGATGCAGACCATTCACCATTAAAAGGTCCTACATATTGAGACACAAATATCTACTCACAATGAACAAAAATAATTGACAACATTAAAGACATAAGCCTGAAAGAGGAAGAGAAAACAAAAATAGAAAAGAATAATTAGAAAAAAGAAGAAGAATGAGAAAAAAGAGAGATTCAAGGAATACTGCCTTTTCATAGCCTAAATCTTCATAACAGATTAATAAAGAAAATGAATTTGGGGCAAAAATCAAACCAAGTTACAGGTAGACCTCAGTATTTTACAGCTAAAGAAGTTACAAAAAAAAAAACTGCAAACATTATGGTCATTTTACAACTATCTCCCGTGTAATTCTTCCATCCATCTCCTGATAAACATAATTTTCTTTTTTTGTCAACAAAGTTCTTGCATGAAGGCCACTTTCCTTCTGCATCTCCATCATTTGCGAGATACAGCCTCCCGCCTTCTTCACTCAGGGATTAACAATGCTTAAAAGGGATGTGCTGGTAATGTCATGCCAAAACATTACCATAACCGCTGCACACCTGTCATTCTAATTACTGCTACACACCTGTCATTGTCTCGTTCCTAACATACCTTTAGCCAGTGGAAAGCAAAGATTGTTGTTAACTGGATCATATTGTCGGTTAATTATATATCTTAACATCGGGGATGTGTTTCGGTTACGTCAACCCTTTGTTGTATGACTTCTTAACCCCGAGAAATCGCATTCACTGAGCGAGTAATAACAGACGATCGTAAGTTAATTAGGGTAGACTCGCAGAACTATGGGGGACTTGTGCTGTTTTGGTTTAGGCTGGAACAGACCCCATTACGGAGGAATATTGCTTTGGGGCTTTTTCCCTCGTTGGATTATCTTTCTAATTAAATTCGTGTACAATTCATATCGATATGTATACTCTGATTAATAATTCTTAGTAGGTAGGTGGTTGTTTTCCGAATTCTTGATAATTTATTCCGCTATTTATCCTCATTGCTGGGGCAAAAGGTACATGCCTAAAAATAATTTCTTCGTACTTTCAAAACTTTCGTTGTCATCATGAATCAAATCATCGGCAATTTTCATTCGCATACTTTGCATCTGTGTGTGTCATTTTCCCCTTCTCTTTCACTCCTTCCTGTCTCTCTGTCTCTGACTTCCCCTCACACTCTGCCTCACCCCCCCCTCTTCAAGATTTTACTATTCAGTCTTTATATATTGCTGTCTATCTGTCTGTCTGCCTGTCTGTCTCTCTCTCTCTCCGTAAACATTGTAACAACTGATATGGCTTCAAGTTTTCATATTATCGTACCTTTATATACATAACAAAAACTTATCAACATTTTTCCCCTCATACCCCCATCAGATATTTCACCAGAGGTATTTTCCTTATAAGGTATATCCCTCATACCTGCATAAGGTATTTCACCACAAATAACCTACTAAAAACAGACATTATAGGAAATCACCTCGAAACACAGGTGTGGTTAATTCAGATTAATCGGTCATAATTGTAAATGAGACGTCGACGGCCCAGCAGTGACAGCGAGTCGGAAATGGTCTTCACCCCACTCCAAAACGCCATTTGAAGGCGTATGTCTACACTTCTTGACTATTTCAGGTTCAAAGCGTGAATCACTTTTGAAGACTCAGATAGTAAAACGTCTGCCCCCGACTTAAGCGATTTTACTGCATTACCAACGGCGGTTTGTTAAAAATGTGCGAGGCCCGACCCAATGAATATTCATATTTATATGGATATGTATATATACAGAAGTAAATGCATATCTATCAGTCTAGACATGGATATCAACCGGACAAATAGACGGATAAAAGTGTATCTATCAGATAGATAAACAGATATACATTTATTTCTGTGTATATCAGTCTATATATGAGAATATCCATCGGGTCGGGCCTCGCACTTTCTGATAAACTTTCTGATAATCTCTCCTTGAGCAGTTTATGTTCTGTCAAAGTCGATCTGCGTGGACATGTGTGATGAAGCACGATATAATTAAATTAGTTTAATGAAAGCAATGTTAAAAACTGATTTAACCAGGAAAATATATGAATACTTTTCGCCTGTGAAACTAGTTATTCTCTACTTTTTCCATGTCAACCTGCACCTACACTTAGCGCAATAACCACACATTAAATGAGAGTTTTATTTTTTTTTACTTCCACAGTCTCGCTCACAGTCATCTGCAATTACATGCAATAGATAATATGAAGAAGGGATTTCGGTCCTGGTTTTAATGAGAGGCTTCTAGTTCAAGTCTACCATTTTCTGATATCCATCCCAATATAGTGGGATCTGATGTTCTAACTTGTCATTGTTGTATTTCATAAAAAATGCGGTACAGTGAACCCTCGCTATAACGCGTTTCACCTTTCGCGTTCTCGCTGCTTCACGGATTTGCATCGTGCATTGTGTTCTGCATTCTGAATGACTAAACAGTCTCTCCACTTCTTCTCTACCTGTGTGTCAATAACGTTACGGTTTAATATGTACATGTACGCAAAACAGCTTGCCAAATTTAAGTTTACAAATTTTCTCTAAAACCCATGAAGCCTTCAGTTCGTATTGATGATTAAAATTATTATTTTACAGTACAGTAGTTATTTGTAAAATAAAACATTTATACAGTACTTTTATTTGCTAAACAAATGCTTGGGCCTGTAAAAAGGTTTTGTTCTTTGGTTTCAATGTATTGTAGAGTATTTCATTGTATAATGATTGTAAAAAAAATAAAGGTTACTACTTCACGAATTTCGCCTATCACGGGTTCTTTTTGAAACGTAACTCCCGCGAAAAACGAGGGTACACTGTATTAATGATGTTGGGCTATGGCTGATGTCGGCGATAGCGTCTATTTGCCATGTCGAAGTTGTTGAGCTCTTGTCTTCAAGTACAAAAAAAAAAAAAAAAAAAAAAAAAATCATGGTTACCATATATCTATGTTGTGTGTGTTTCTCCAAATGGAAGATTTCTCTGTGTTCGATTCTTTATTGATGAAAGAGCACAACACAAGAACAGATTAACACATGATACGAGACTGTGGACAAGCACTAATCAGTGGCGTATCCCCGGCCAGTGGAGGGTTGGGGGGGGGGGTGGTAACGGCGACAGGCATTCTAAATGGTCAGAATAGGTCGACCTAATTGTCATCTTGGTTTGGTTTTGGAACCCGCGCGGGCAGACTTAGAAACCATGTGGGGGCTTGGCTTGGGTTTGCAGGTTCCATGTTGAGCTAATCATGCTTATATGTCTACCATATCCCCACTCTCTCTCATGCTCTCTTGTATTGTATTTTTTTTATTATATTTTTGGTTGGCCTACCTGGTTATCGTCAATTTTTACTGTTCGAATAACTTGACTCTCTGTCCATTTATTGTTTTCATAGTATTCTCTTTTCTCCTTTATTTGATCGCTGCATCACACAAATATAATACACAAATACTTTCACACAACTATAAGATTCATGGACTCTCCTATTGACACCTGTCGACTTGCACTTCTCCACTCTAGTTGCGGCGAAGGTCTTGGGCGCAGACTCTACTTTCCCGACTCTGCTGGCGAAGATTCTTCCAGCTCTCATTCATTCCCTCACGCCTCTTCTATGTTCCGACTCACGCATTCTTCCCAATCTAGATCAATCTACTTTGGTTGTCCCACTTAACACTCTCCACGCCGATCCGAAACGTCCCGGTTAACCTCCACGAACTTAATGATTTCCCTGCATCTGGTCATGAGGGATGAATGAGAACATAACCATAATATGTGTTGTAAAGCGTGAGTTTCAACCCGACTGAGGAGCTCACGGCAATTTTTTAGTGACGGTGCGAATAAACTGTAGGCTTATGGCCTGGGGCGGCGCTAGAAAACTTTTTTTGGGGGGTGTCGGGAGCAAGGTTACCGAGTAACATTTTAAAAATTAAATCCACACTTCATACTTTTTAATATCTTGTTTCGAAAAGGACCAAATTGAAATGAAAATGAAAACTTCGCGAGTCACAAACCATGATCATTGATTCCTTAAATTATGCCGACCACCAAGTTTGCCGAGTAAACTGTATTTTTTTCCATTCTGCCGAGTGAAATGACGATTTGTGACCTTTGGGGGTGTCGCACCTCCCACCCCCCCCCGGGGCATCGCGCCTGCTTATGGCAAACCGTTAGCGTAAATGGGGCGATGACAGACATACGGCCGGTTTGTTAGAATTGTGCGAGGCCCGACCCAAAGAATATTAGTGTACTTGACATTCGTAAATAAATAAACAAATGCACATTTATTAGTCTAAACATGCATATCAACCCGGCAAATAGATGATTAAATGTATATCTATCAGATATAAAGACAGATATGCCTTTATTTCTGCGTCTGTATTTATGAAAATTCATAGGGTCGGGCCTGGCACAATTTTAACAAACCAGCTGATAGCCAAGACCCATTGAACGTCGCTCACGTCTACGGGTTTAACATCTAGAACATCTTTTAACACGATATAATCTATTCACTCGGAGGATGCGAGAAGCTGGAATGGCCAATGTACCAGTGTCATTAATATTGTGAGACGGCACGGCGTGTGAGTAATTACGGAATGAATATTTTCGCAATTTAGTTTAAAAAGAGAAAACAAATGGTTGAATATGTCTAGTTATCAAAATACTACAGTATAAAGGAGTATACAGTCAATCTTAATAATATCTCTACTGTAGCAAATATTTACATTCCTATTACTTAGCATGCATTTCATAAGCAAAGGTAAATGTTTAGTTTAAAAGGAATTAATGATTGAGTTATCCCTTATGTATGACCGAGTATATCCCATTTTCTATAAATCCATTGTAGCAATAGTCGGCCATTACAGGGAGCCTCTGAGTCAGATTTTAATTATCTGCATATGTTTGTATAATCAAGTAGTCATATATTATTATATAACTCAAAATGGAAATATATGTGCAAAGATTGCTTATATATGAAAAAACAAGGTTTTGTGTTTTAGATCTCATATATTAAGTTTACGTGTGGAAGCACATTAGTAAAGAAAATGACAAATGTAGTAAATGTAAGAGGATAAAAGAAGTAAACAAACACCGAATGAAGTGTTTCCCCATTGTACTATCTGACCTACCACCTATAATGGCCGGCACATCTACAGATGATATAACCAACAGCTCTCTTCAGTATTAACAAAAATAAATAAATTGCTTGACGTGAATTCTGCATCCTCCGAGTTGCCCCTGATACAATACCAAAACAATACTCGTGTTGAAAAAGAAAACAGCCACAATAAGATATGAAAATAAATGTCGCGTTTCGAACTCTTCACCAGTTCCTCTTCAGACACTGGTCACATGGAGTGTTCCCTTAAATATCAAGATTTTTAGAGAATATTAGGTCAGAAATTTCAGACAGGTCGTCAGAGATAGTGTTAAGGACGACTGTTTATTAAGCATATTCCTGGTTGATGTTTAAAAGAATGTTACATGTTACATCTCGTGTATCTCTCACTCTCTCTCTCTCTCTCTCTCTCTCTCTCTCTCTCTCTCTCTCTCTCTCTCTCTCTCTCTCTCTCTCTCTCTCTCTCTCTCTCTCTCTCTCTCTCTCTCTCTCTCTCTCTCTCTCTCTCTCTCTCTCTCTCGCCAAATGGTAAGCAAAAGGCCTTGAAAGTCTGATTTTTTCTGCCTTGACTGATATATATATATATATATATATATATATATATATAGTATATAACATATATATATATGTATATATATATATATATATAATATATATATTATAAACATACATATACAGATATATATTA